AAAAAAAAAAAAGGTAATGGTAGAAAACAGAGCAAAGGGTAACAAGATAACATGATGTTTCACTGAGGGAGCTGCCACTAATTAATTACAGCCAAATTAACTGATAGTGGTGTATTTATCCTCTGGTTGGTCTCAAAATGTAAATTACTTAAGGAAAAAAATCACAGCATTTTAAAGTTCTGTATACTAGATGTGTACAAAGAGATTTAATAACAGAAAGTTAACTCTGTTTAATTGAAAGTTGGACTTCTAAGACGTGTTTTAACATTGGTCATCTCAAATGGACCTACGCATGTATTTTAGAGAATTAGAAGTACAGAAATCTGACTGCCATGTCTGTTTAATCTCATTTTTCAACATGCCAGATTCAGAAGCACTGGAGGCCACACTTAGTTCTTCCATCCTCCCCAAATGGATTTTTTTTTAATACTGTTATTTTTAAACAAAACACTCTTTAAATTCACAGAAGTTGCAACTAAACATCTCCTAACACTTACCTGAGCTTTTATGATGTGCATAAATCTGGACATTAGTTCAGGACATTCAAGAAGAAAATGAAAGTGATCAAAAATTATTTTGGGATTTCTGAAAGAAAAATAGGTTAGAAGCCTGTTAGTCAGAGATCTAATAATAATAATGCTTCACAATACATGAAGTCTATATAAAGAAACAATCCAATTAGTCATTAGGTAAATTCCAACAGACTCTTCTGCTTTGTAACGTTTTCCCAACTCTTATTTCCAAATGACTTATACTACCTCAACCTTTGAGCATGGAGGATTATAAGCAGCTCTCCAGAGAGCAGCAAGGTTACAAACTGGGCAGTCCCAGAGAACCTCTAGAAACAGCTAAGTGTACAAAGACGGTTTAGACTCCTTTAAGAAGTGATTAAGTACAACATACTTGAGGAAGAATGAAAGTTTTCATCTGCCTCAAAAGGGAAGGCTTTATTTGGAACAAAGATGAAGAAAGAATCTGTTGAGAAAATCATTCTGCTGCTCTGTAAAAAAGATTTTGTCCACAAAATCTTACAGAGTCTTATAAAAGGATCGCTTACATATGCAGAAAAGTTCATTTAAGCCTGAGCTCTGAATCATTAATATACACTCCTTTGAATCTGGCAGGACCATTAAAGTGCATATGGTACATATGTCACAACAATAATCTAAAAATACAACTCAAAGAAGAAAATACAAGTTTGAAGTATTTGGGGAAAAAAAAAAAGAAAGAAAAAGAAAGGAATTAGAAATTCCATATTTCTTGAGGCTTACCGGTTAACAAAACACTTAAGGACATCATCATGTTTACAGACAAATTCTATAAAACGAGGCGATGTCATCCTGTTCAAAGAAAATCATAAGATGCTTTTAGTTAAAGTTGAAAAAAATTTGAATTAGTTGATTAAGCTGATGAATTTTTTCAATAAAATACTATGCAAATAGAAACTGGTGTTGTTTAACCAGTCAATCATGAAACAAAATACTCAGCAGTAATAAGATTTCATAATAAACTAATAGAAAAGGCAAAAATGCCAATAATCAAGAAGGTCAAGCAACCTGCCCAAAAACTTATCAGCTATGTGAACAATAAAAGCTCAAACTAATGGAGATATACATTTTTCTATTGAAACCTTGCAGCTTTATAAGAATGGAAGCACATACATAGAAGGACTGATAATATATGCACAGTATACATAGTACACACACTGTTCTGTGTTCTTGTTCATTGTATAAAACTCCCACCACATGAGGAAAGGAGAAAAGGAAGAAATAACATTACACACTCAGCAAACTTAAGGGGAGACAAGGTGGTATTTAATGGATTTATGAAATCACAAAACTTCTTGCCAGGCAAATGTCTCATACACTAGTACGGAATTTTATTTTTTCTCCTACATATACCCACGGAACAAGGGAAGGATTAACATGGGTGCAAATTTTACTCCTTTTATTTACATTCTGCATTTTTTATAAAGATAAATTCTTAATTGGATCCTTTAGTTTCAGCAAAAGCTAACCAACACTTGCAAACAAGTATAAAAGCTGTCTCATCAAGTGCCTTGCACGATTAGAATGGCCAGACTGGATGAGGCTTTGAGCAACCTGGTCTAGTGGAAGATGTCCCTGCCCATGGCAGAGGGGTTGGAACTAGATGATCTTTAAGGTCCCTTCCAACCCAAACGGTTCTGTGATTTTATGACTGTGAAAAACAGTACTTCAAGAAGTCCAGGATAACAGTCCTAGAACTGTTCCTGTTCCCCACAACAATTTAGACAAGAGCTGCTCATTTATATAAAACTGTGCTATTCTCCTTTTCTCCCTTACTGTTTTGAAAAAGTAAGTCTCACCATATCCCTACCCTCATCAGCACCAAAAAACCAAACAAGCAAATAAAATTTTCCAGAGACTAAATATGAACACTTTAAAACACACTTCTGGTCTGAGAGATGATCTGAAAATACTAAACAGCTAAGAGCATCTTCCCTGAAAGGCAGTGAACTCTATCTGTAAACTGCCACACAAGCTGTAAGATGCAATGTACAGAGAAGAAAAACTTAGCACACGCTCGCCAGCTTTGATGCTGAAAACTTAGTATAGTGAAATACAGTGTTCCAACAAAGAATGCCTAGATTCACTATCAGCATTTGCAGAAGAAAAGCAATCATAGCAAGTAAAAGGAATGTAACATCGGTATTTCAAATGTTAACCAGCTAACTTTCCACTTAAGAATGGAACGCCATCTTTATTGTACGACTATTAGGAACAATGGAAAACTATGAGCTCTATTTACTCTCCTCCATTAAACACAGGCACTCAAATCTAAAGTTAAAGCCATTTTAAATTATTTTGTCTGAAAATGTTACCATTTCAAATGTTGATTTGAAGACGGCAGCAATATTGAGTTACACCACTGTGTCATTTACTCATATTAATATGAAAACTTCAGTAAAACAGGTTGGCAGATCTTTGTACCTCTCTATGCAGTTCAGAAAAGCCCTAAAGCAACAAAGATTTCTGGTGTGTTCTACCTTAACTTCCCTGCATCCCAGGGCATTCTCCCAGCTGTCACTGAAATAATTCTTACTCTCCTGGCATCTAGGAGAGTAAGTAACTCCCAATTGAACTTATACAGTATCCACAGGATTATCCATAACCTGAAGTATAAGTTATGCACAGGGACAGTCTCACTGGGCAAAGGCCATCAGCAAGTCACCTGGACACACACAGGCAGACAGTCACCTCTCTGACCGAGTTTCAGTATCAAAAGATAAACTGCCGGGAGAAGGGGAGTGCGCGGGGTGGAATGTACTTAATCACTTCTATAAACACTTCTGCTTTTCATTTGGCTGCTGTAGTCACACTTCACTGGCATTTTATCTTCGCACAGTTTGATGGACATTTCAAGAGAAATGACTAACCAGCAGTTCCTTTTTCAAGGTGAAGTAAAATCAAAAGTGAAAGTACTGAGGTGCTTGTGGAACACGCTGATCCCCAGACCGTCTTCCAGAGCGTCCACAGAGGAGCATGCATCAGACAAACAGTACTGGCAGACCCAAAAGCTTTTATTCCCCTAGGCTTGGCAAAGAAAGTAAAACCCTTACAGTGGCTGAGAATATTCAAGAGTTGTCATGTAGTGGGAAACTTGCTTCCAGATTCCTCAGGGAGCTCATAATACCATCATAACTGCCTAATCCTACACTAAAGAGGGTCAAAGATCCTTTTCTTGCAAGTTCACAACTGTAACCCACAAGAACCTTGGACAGACTAAGACCTCAGCTACAGTGGACACATTTATTTTTCTTTTTAAAGCAGATGCTGATGGTATTTGTTTCATACAAATTGTAGTGACTGTTCCACACAAAACTATGTTTGCCAACCTGGGACAGGATTCCAAGTGAGCACTACTTTGAGACTCAACTCTCCTCATTATAAACTTTTGCAATATAGCCAAACGAGTTTTGCTTCAGCTGTCATTTTCATACACAAAGACAATCTGCACTTTTTTCTGAGCTTAGAGATGTTGTTGGATAATCACATTAAATTCCGGGATAATTTCACATTTAGAACCAACAGCAAGAACAGCTAAATTTCAAGAAATCAAAATTACATTACCTGCAAGCATCCCACATGATTACAAAGAGCCATTAGACATTCAATCTGCCCCAACACAGCTACGTTCAGAGGCAGCAGCACGACTGAAAATTGGCTGTGCTGTCTGGTGCCATTAAAGGTGGGGGAAGGGTGGGGGGCGAATCATTCAAATAATGATCTATTTCACTAGTGAAAGCATTAAAAAGCATACCCTTAACTGTCACTCTAACACCATCTGGTCAGAACCAACATTCTTCCAAGAAAGCATGTGTGACTTTAAGATGGTAAGAGTTCAGGTAGCAAACAGGATCCCCTCCTTACCCCTGAGGCATCTGACAGGAGCAGCACATATAAAACGCCTGAATGACAGCACTTAGCCTGTTTGCTGTCATGGAAATAACATCCTGGCAATCAGCACAAGCTTCCTGCTTCCCGGCAACATCGTATGTTTTCGACTCGCCAGCATCAGTGGAGAGCGCTTTTCTGCCCTCAGTTCCTCCTGCAGCCACAAAGGAAGGTGTAGGAGTATCATCCTGGTGATCTGGTCCTTTTTGCTTCAGTAAAATAGAAGTAATATTGGCAGAATCCCTTTTGTTTTTCATCAGCTCTGTGGCTATAAGAACGAGCCATTCATCTAGAGAATGCCAGAGCAGTTCCAGCGGCTGCAATAAACACAGGCAAAAAACAGACAAAGGAACATGTTGACATTAGATAATACTAATGATGTGATAATCCTCAAGGCAAATTAATATCATGGACTTTAAAAAGCTTTAAATGATCCTTCAGAAGTCATGTTAGAGATATAAGTCAAATACTCAAAAAATTCTATATTTGTAGCCATAGAGCACAAAGAAAATTTAATTTCAATGAAAGCAAACAAGCAACAGAAGGAATGAAGATCAAGTAACTTAGAAAGGGTAAAACACTGAACTATTTAACAGAGTTTGGCCTCACGGTTATTACACCACACACTACTGCCTGAATGCTGGAGTCAAGCTGAGGGACAGTAATCCACATATTGAGTCTCCACAATAAGAGTGTGTCAGTTCTTTAAGGCCCTGGTCAAAGAAGCTTCCTACCAGGTGAACGGAGCAAGCCCCAGAAAATGCCACTGACTCACGCACATGCATTTCAAAAAAACACGAAGTCTGACTCTGCTGTCCCTTAATGGTCTTTAAGTGGAAGCTTCTCGAGCGTACAGTCTAGTGAGCACAGGGATGTGTATCCTACAGGGAAGAAATTCTGACTCTTTCATAGCATTCCAGAAGAGTTAACTTGTAAGTGCACTTCTTTTTCCATGTATTACTGTTATGTCAACATTTTTCACCAATTAAAGCATTCAAAGACTTAACAGGTACTGAAAATCATAGTTTAAAACTGCTTTTAAAAATTAAAAGCTATCTGCAGTACACCATACCAGGCATCTACACTACCTGCAGCACGGTCAGTACACCTAATAGCGACATGCGTTCCATACATAACAAATTATTGCCCCTAAGAGCTGTGTATTAAAAAATGTTGTTGAAATTTACCATTAAAAAACAAATTTACCATTACGCTTTCATTTCTTCCCCCAATAAGAAGTGTGGGGAAAGCCAGCCTGAACTGGTCAGCTTTGCTCAACATCCTGTGAGATACTCACTAAATCCTGGTACTCCTGCTGACCACCCATTTCTCTAGATGGTGATCTCAACACCTCCAGTGCAGGTACCATTTTCTACATCAACGTCTGCTATACAGGATCGAGTTAGCTTCTTCGCAAGACCTACCTGGCACACCTTCCCCACAAGCCATAATTTGCAACGAATTTTTAATGGAAAACAGGATTCACTGAATACATGGAAGAATTAAATTGCAGCTGTGTTCCTAACGTGCAAGTCACAAGAAACTAGATGGTTATTTACTAAAATACCAAAACGTAGTTTTTCTTCTCCCAAACATTTCAACGCTTAGCTTGACAGACACCATTTTTGCACCAATATCTTGTGGTTTATCTTTTATTTCCACACACTTAGTATGGTTTTCAGAACTCTTGCAACTGATTTGTTTTTCCAAAGCTGGTTTTTCAGATTCTGATCAAACACTCATTCAGAAGTGCAGTCAGCCACAGCGACTTCAGCTTTTCACTTTCTTTTTTTTTTCCTAGTCTAATTTCAGGTTACAAAGCACTCCTCTGAATATTGCCCACCACCTCCATATCCATGGCTGTCAGCACTTCATGTAGGCGTGCATGATCACACCTTTCCAAGTGTAATATGGACACACTGAATCAAACCATAAGCAACATTTTTTCAAAACTACAAGTCAGCGTTCTTCAGTCGATTCCTACTGTGATCTGCATATTAAACACAAACCTCCACACAATCTTCAGTTTTCACATCTCACAGGAAAGTTTCTTTGGAATTACACATCTGAGTGTGATCAAGTACCAAGCTTTTACGGCTGCACACCTCATCCCTCAAATGCCAGGATTTAGCTAAGCAACCCTTTCCTTTTTACCCATCTAGAAAGCAGGAGACTAGAAATCAAACACATGCTCCAACTGTGACACTGGAACAACATCTTCTGCCAGGTGACAGATAATAATTAGTCTTTTAAGACACAGGGAGCAGGAGATCACTAATCCATGAAGTGACTGTGCCACAGCAAAGAAATCAGTTCTAGAAAAGAATAGTATCCTAAATAAGGGACAAATGTTACAGGCTTCCCAACTTTGATCAACCAAGCAGGGAGATTTTGCAGCGTTTCCCTACTATGTGATCATACTGAACAGCAATTAGAAGAGCGATACATGAAAAAATAATGTAAACCTGGTCAAAATTACTATTCATAAAGTTTCTCACTGGTAGGATCTCACTTGAGTTAGCAATAGCTTGTTTCAAGATCGAGTGTCAAAATTCAATTACTTGTTTCTGGCAAGATCAGTAAAAGAGTGTGTCTGCATCAGCTAGTGTTTCCACTTTAAAGCATTTGGATAAGCCTGAATTGACTAGATCTGTAATGAAATATATACAGGGAACTTCAGTAAAGCAAAGATGGGCCTGTGACTTTCTTGTCCTTGTCAAGCAGTAACACTCTCTGGTAGCCTCAGGTCAAGACACACTCATATTTTCAATCCCTTCCAAACTAGATTACAGTGACAAGTCTTCAAAATATGTTCAGTCAGTATACTAATACAGAAAACCTTAACACAGCATCAAGAAAAAGAGTCAGGAAAAGAGTTCTGATTCATTTCTTATGCTGGATAAAATATGGTTTTGTACCAGCTTCTTAAAAAAAGTTACAAAGTACATCTTTAAAGGTCATCAGGTGCAGATCTATTTGGACATTACAGGAAGGTATTCAGAAGGAAAGGATGCAATCCCTTATACCATACAATCAGGCCTGATAATGTTCCTCCACCTATCCCACATGAGCAGCGACAGAACTCTTGCCACTGCTACCCTCAATCATCCCCAGATAAAAGTTTCTAGGTCCATTCTTGAAAGGAGACAGTATTGATCAACAGATTAGCTTCCTATATAGTAAAGAAAGACAGTGTCTGGAGCCTTCACTCGCTCAAAGAAACAGCATTCATAAAAGTGGGTGATGACCCGTATCCTTCAATGTGCTCCAGAAAGTAATCAAGACCTTACATGGGACATGACCCAGCAGTCTGAGAGACCTGGTTTTCCCCATAAAACCTGTATCAAAATTCAAATTATCTACAGCATTTATCCCCACAACCAAATTTTAAAGTCAGCAGCAAATTTCAACTTAAAGCTACTTTCTCCTAAAATTTTCAATATGGATCTCAAATGTAAAAAGCTTTAAATGCAATTGTTGACTCTTCTAATGCAGAGTTAACTCCCCTTTTGGAGCAGCAGCCTCTCTGGTTTCCTTAATACTAAACAGTTACACAGCCTATATTCAAGAAAATTCAAATAAAACAAAACATAGAAAAGGAGTTCTGTTCCATCACCTGCATGTCCCACATCCCATGCCTTCAAGTAGCCTCCACACCATTGTAATGATCATTATTTTTTCCCCCCTTCACCCAAAAGACAGAAGTCCAGAACTCCAGAACAAGAACTCCAGAAGTCCAGAACATCAGAACTCCATTTTCAAGGAAAGAACAAAAAACAAAACCAAAAAAGAGTAACAAAAAGGGAAGGTAGGAATAAGAGAGAACAGGAAGTCATCTAACTTGACTCAGCATTATGTCTCATCTCCCACTACCCAGTTACAGTAAATTCAGGGAAGAAAAGGCTAATCCAATCAAAACTGAAAATTAATTTAGCATTGCCAGGCCAGTGTGCCCCATTCCCAAATGAGAATAAGTTCCCATCTGCAGTTTTGTATTTTTGAGTTTGAAATTTAAATCAACTTTAAAAATATTACTTAAAAAGATCAGACAGTGGCCCTACTGAAGGGCTGCCTCAGTTTTAGTATTTCTAAAATAACTAAATCAAAATAATAGCAATAATAATTGTTAAATTGACCTGAAATGTTTGTTCTGTTAGCTAATAAAACAGTAGTATATATTTTGCTCGTTAAAAAAAAAAAAGTTGCTTTTACACAACTAAGAATTACTGATATTTTCTCAGACAATTGAGCCAGTTGTGTAATATAATTCTACTGCAAAAGACTTCATTCCATGCTATATTCAGAAACCATTTTTTCGGCATACAAAGAAGTTTAGGCTCACAGATAAGTTTCTGCTGAAATACAATTTCCTTTGCAAATTGCAATTGAATGTTCTTGTTTGTTTCACAGTGAGTTGTGAAATGATCCAGAGTTGAAAAGCATGAAACAATTTTTTTTTTTTTCCATTTTTGGGCCATGAGCAAACACAAAATGCAAGGAGATGAGGTCAGCTACTCCTAAAACCTTAAAGGTAACAGAATATCCCACTGCAGACAGTTCCTGTATTAAACGCATTTAACATCTGCTTGCTATTTAATCTGGTATATTTAAACCAATTTTCATTAAAACTATTAGAAAATGCTGTCTTTAATACAGTGATTCTTGTGTTTTGGGTAGGGCTTTGTTTATTAAAATGGAAATTCACAATGTTCCAATCTAGCTCAACATATTTTAGTGAACAACTCTGAAGGACAATTATTACATTGCGTACTGTAAAACGCATTATAACCTGCACACAGCATTTTTCATCCTCAAGCACTAGTTTCATTTTCATTATATAAATCAATGTTATTAAAACAATTTTGCTGTCAGAAAAACCAACATTTGTGCTTGTTTTTTTAAATAGTCTAATGCTTTCCTTTCATTCCAAGAGAAGAAATATAAACAAAACTTAACTAACTATAGCTGGAATTAGAGTATCATCTTTCACGACCTTATCAATACAGCTTTGTCTTAAACGTCATCAGAAGTAACCTGATGAACACATCATATCATCAAATAAATGCAGTAATTTCAAAATATCATTTTCAGAACACCCTGACAGAAATGTGACAGTTAAAAGAAAATTCTCATGTAATCATTGGCATCTACATGATTGGTGATATAAACTCTGCCATGAAAGAGGATGGAGGGAAATGTGAGAAAAGGACTACCCATCCTTCAGTTGTCATTATTTAGATGCTCTGAATAGGATGTCGGTTACGTATCCAATGCAGATTGAGTGGCACGCAGAAAACTGGAATGGCTTTACAGAAAAGCAAGCTATGATTTTCTACAGGTGGATTCCTCAACTAACAAGTATGAAAAACCTCACCCTTCAGGAATTAAACGTGTAAATGGCAAGACCTAAAGCAAGTGTTTGAAAACGCCTATAAATCAATAACCTTGCAGGGGTGGTAGGAAGCTGCTATGATTCAAAAGCATGTAATAAAATTCAATAGGGAAAAAACTTCATGATCACAGTGAAAACAACAAACAGATCAAGAACTCAATTATTTCTATTTACCTTGTGAAGTTGGATAAAACTGAATGATCAGAATTCCCAAAGACTCCCCAAATACCATTTTGAAATTACATTAATACAATGTTTCATATTAATATTACCACATTATGAGATTACTAGACTCTTAAATAAAATAACAGAAATAAAAACCAAAGTTTACCAAAATCAACTGGATAACTAAGCCTTCAACATCTAATAAACAAGACATTAAACAAGAAATAAATAGAAATCATAAGATGACATGTGCATCAGGGGTGAAATGAATCCAGTGAGAGGAGGTGCGAAAAATCATTAAGGAGAAGGAAAGAGGTAGGCTTAACTTAAGAAGGGATAGGGACATCAACCAAACTTACTTCCTGTTCATGAGATGTCTGATTAATGAATGCATGCTTTGTGAAATTCATCTCTTTAACGTCTATCTTCCTAACAACATCATATACTTTTCTGACCTTGAACACCTGACTTCTTGGAGTTTTATTTCCATTGTAGCCCATGTCATTTCCATTACTGGGAGAGGATGGGCCAATGCGAAAGACATGGCAAAATATCCTCACGATCCTTAAGAGACTCTTCATTTGAGCTTCATAATTACTTGACAAGCTGGGGGAAAAAATGGAATATTTAAGTTTCTTTTCCTAGATGAAACAATTTAGTATATTAAGAAGTAAGCAAGCTAATGGAAGGATCTGACACACATGCTGAAAAAAACCCTAAGCTTGAAACCCTAATGAATTTTAACTTTTCTTTCCCACATCAGCCCCAAACCCCAAATATAACACTATGATTTTACTAACACATACTCAAAATTTTAACTATAGTGAAATAAGAACAGCAAATTCCAGACCTTTCAGAATACTTCACGCATTCTCACCTATACGTATGCTTCTTATGAACTACTGGTAAGAAATTCAATTTACTACAGTAAGGATCTGTTTATGAAGAAAGGATCTCCATGTATAGAACAAACAGGGATATCCAGCTGGAAATGTTTTTCAATCTAGAAAATATAGCATCCAATGGTAAGGTGTACTGACTAATCAGATATGCTGCCACATCCCATCCTCACCTAGCTACTATCCTAAATGCCCATCAATTACTTGAATTAAACAAGGGATCAGGATGGTAAAGATGGCAGTATTTAAACTCAAGAGAAACATGATCTAGAAGATACTACATAAAAGCACCAGTATGATTTTTAATATATTTATTGGATAAGTAAGAGTTTTATGCCTTCTTAACTGAACTGGCCAACACTGAACTCTGTACCAACGTATGAGTTCATGCACAAGCAGAACATTCTCCATCAAATTCATTGCAGTTTTCTTTCCTTAAATCCCAAGCAGTAAGAATTCTTCTGTCTTGAACACTTATCAAAAACTGCAAGAAACTGAAACATTTTCTATTGAACTCTACTCATAAATATTATACAAAAGAGTACATAATCAATTCTGTCCTTAATGACTGTCAGTGAGGTGTTAATTTCAAAAAGCCACACACTAAGAACTCTACCAAACTGACACACAAAGTACAACTATCTTGTTGCAATTCAGACTTCAACCACACAAAGTTTTCAGTAAATCTAGATTAAGAAAGAAATACAAAGAGTAAACAGTCCAAGAGTAGGAATGTTAAGTTTTCAACCAGTTAATAAAAATCCTGACTGGCAGGACATAATTATATTACCAGAAGCCCCAGCTGCAAATGAGCATTTAGAAAAACCTTTGCTGGTGTAACAAAAGAATCAGTGAATACAAGTAAGTAACTCAAGAAGTTAACTTAAGTATTAGCAAAAATAAAAAACAACCCAAACACCAAAACACATTTCAACTGAGGTTTATCATCCCTCAGCAGCAATATTTTCCTGGCAAAATTTCAGTTTAAATTACCTGGTCTCCAAGAAGAGCTTACATAAACAGGAAAACTTTGAAGTGCTTTTAACAGTTTACTGAACCTTTTATTAGCATATTTGTAAACATTCAGCTAGGCCCAATCTGCACCAGCAAGAACAAATTGTGTCATATTACAATAACTTCTTGGAAAGAGGAAATACATAACGGAGGCAACGCTAACTGAACAGTCTCCTTGCTGATGTTCAAGGCAGAAGTCCTCAGGCAGGTTGGTGGCACCCCTGGCTACCTGCTACAAGCATTACAAAACCCAGTTTAAGACACTTTTGAACTAAGCAACCAACAAACCCAACAGCAATGGGTTGTGCGGTAGCAGCCCGGAATCTAATAGCAATGACACTAGTTCAGCTATGGAAGATTATGGTTATTGGAGGTTGTAGTGTACAGAGTGCATTTTACTACTTCTTTTGAAGGAAGAGAGAGCAGAAAGAGATCCAGGTTCAAAGGTCTGTATTCGCCCAGTACTACCTTCATCCTCATTACATTAATAATAAAGCAAGTGAGAAATGCTTTTTTGAAGTAGAGATTAAAGCCTCTGACAAGGAACAGAATGGGAGGGAACAGACACAGTTTTTATGGAACTGTTTCTTGTAAATGAAGAAGAAAATAATTCCATTTCCCTTGTGACATATTCCAAAGCACCAGAGAGAAGTGGGCCAGGAAGAGTCCATAGGCCACCCTAAGTACAGGCATCTCTGGAAATGCCTGCCCATCCAACACAACGCAAAGCTTCCAACTTGTCTTCAACCTCCGCTAGTCAAGCCATGTGCAGCACTACAGGAGTAGACAGCAGTTCAGATTCAGAGGCATAGATACTGTTTCTGCAGCCACCCCGAGGGAACATTGCTCAGAGGAGCACTAACAGTAATAGATCAAATCTAAACACACAATCAGTATAATTTATCTCTGAAGAGGCTGAAATAGAAATAAATACTGCCTCCCATGATCTAATCCAGCTCCCATGACTTCTGACCATATTTCAAAGCAAGTTTGAAACCCTTCCCTGCACAATCGTTTTACACTTTATTACAGCTTATTCGCGGGAGATCTATGGGCTCTAATGAAGTCTAGAGACAAAAGAAATGTGTTACAAGTTAAGCTGATTACAGAGTGAAGCCCAACAACAGCTAAAGTTCTTCAGAAAGTTATCTTTGCAGCAGCAAAATGACATGAATATGTCTGTGCACTTTAACCCCAAACATTTGAGGGATTTGAGTCTTTTATGCTCATTCATCGAGGCGTACGCTCATCAGAACAAGATTGTGATGAATGGAGTCATGAATTTCCTAGCATTGTCTAGGAGTTCTGACCTGCTGACTTCAAGATCCACACAAATTTAACATGAAAAATGGGGAAGGGGGAAAAAAAAAAAAAAAAAGCAGCAGCACTTAGAACTAAGACTATATTATTTAGTATCCATCTAACTCATGGGCTCCTCGTGCCCCAGCCCCAGTTGAAAAGAAGCATTCAAAGTCTTGTTCCTCCACAACCTGTGCTGATGGGCCTCTCTGATTATGGAACACTCAAACCTCTTTTTTCCAAAAAGGGAGCCAAAAATGTCAGTAAGGAACTTCCACTCATGCTTTCAGGCTCTTGACCACTTTCAGAAAATATTTTCTTAGCTTCTAGTAAAGCATACAGGGCAGAACAAATTCTGCTAGGTATTGAAAACCATAAAACGTTAGTGGTGTTCCAACAGAGTACAGATGAGGCATTTTGCACAAATTCCCTCAAACAAATGCCACTAACACCAGGAAAGCATATTAGGAAAACAGGTTTGCCTATTTTGTGTGTTTCCCCAAGTAACCGCTCGTTGTGCTGCGGAGACAGCACACTTGCAGATTAGATTTTCAGTCTCGTATTAGTAGCCAAGGAAGGAAATCAGAGCCAGCAAACATGAGCCAAGTGTCTGAAGTAACAAAATTTTCCTCAAACATACAAAAAAAGCATGCTGAAAGCAAAGATTTGGAAGAGAAGAATAAAGGAGAGAGGGGGAAAAAAAAGAATGATTGATAGTTGGCTAAAAAGCTTCCCTTCCTAGAGCTGACAGAGCCAAACTTACCAAGAAAAAAATACACTTCTCTGCAACGGAAGCTTCTGGGCGTCAGCAGCTATACAAGGACACCAACTTTCCCTGCTCAAGTCCTCATGAATAGTGATCTAAACAGGCGCTGTCATACAGAACCAGATCTGAGATCCATCTACTCCAGCATGTGCCCAGCATCAGTCAGATTATTAAAACTATTAAGGAGCACTATCAGGGAACTTATCAACCTACTTGCCATCTTCTCACACTTACCTAAGCAGTTTGTGACCATTTGTTGTAGCAACTTCAGCAAGACTTGTCAGGATTTTAAGATACTGGCTTTCACTCTGCTGAGACAAGTGTTCCAGAACTTGCCGCAACTGATAAATTAAAAAAAAAAAAAAAAGAAATTGCATAGTGTCGTGAAGCATCAGATCAACATTTAATTTAGAATATTATCACCCAAGCATTAATAAATATCTAGCAATATTAATGCAGGTCTGTATTGTCCAACGTCTAAGCTAACCTCAGTTAAAGTTTCATTATAATTTACAAAGATTACTGAAAATACATACATTCTAGTATCAATGTATGTACTACAGGATATGTATTATTACAGAATGCTATGAAAGGTGAATGCTTAACCATGTATTATTAATTCATAAGAACAACTTCTTTTCATCTGAAAAATGAGTGGGATACACTTTCAACTTCTGAAAGCTAAAAGCATATTGAGTTTCATAATTCATTATTTACCTGTCTCCCCAGTTCACTCAGTTTATGACACAGCGTAAACAAACCCTGGATCCCAGAGTTTGCTCTCACCACCTTCACTTTTTGCTCAACACACTGAATGTCCTTCATTGGGTAACACGTCATACCCTGCTGATCAATAATTGTTATAGTTGCCTGCTTCTCAAGGTTGCCCTTTTCTTTTTTTTGCTAATACCATCACTTGGCTCACGAACACTAGATGTTGCAAACACCCACACACTGCCCTGTCCTCAGCTCCTTTGTTCTACACTTTTTTCTAGCCTAGACATTTTTTTTGGCAGATAAATTAACTCTTCAGTGGCACTGCTCTTTGTGCATTCCTATTGCATCCTCATTTACTCCCTTCTCTCCCACTGTCCGAAAGATCAGTAATTCTTCTCACAGAACTGTAGAAAGGTGGAATGAAAAGGAATCTCACAAAGGTGACCTAATCCAACACGGTCACAAGGCAGGACCACTTGCATCTGTGATCCAAACTGGCCTGCCCAATTTGCCTGCCTGGTTTCTAGATGTCTTCTCCGGAAGCCCTGCAGCTTCACTACGTGATCTCTTCTAATACTCCAGTGTCCTGGACCACGTGACAGTTTTCCCCCAGGGTTCAGCTGAATCTCCTGCTACAATGTCTAAGGCAGAATCTTTCTCCCTGCAGTAGGCCAGTATTTTCTTCAGTTTGTCAAGAACATTTAAAATGTGAGTCCTGACTTCTAACATACATCCAGTCTCTTCATGTCATCACTTCCAGACAATATGAACTGGTCATTATCCAAGACCTCGGGCAGAACACCTCAGACTTGGCCACAGAAAAGCATACTTAAAAACATGCTTCATTGCTGAGATGGAAGCAAACTACAGCATGTATTAGCTAATATATTCTGCACACACTCTCGTTCAGACCTCAGTTCTGCACACACCTCCACCATTGCTCAGGCAGAGGAAACATTCATTTGCCTTGTTTATTGTCTTCACTTCTACAACACACAACAGTATGCTTTGCCATTAACCTTTCCGTAGGTGGTCTTTGTTATTACATGGGTTTAATCCTTTAACTTTCTCCTTTATTTGAAAACTTCCACACCCTCTCCCCATATTTCTAATACACACTTGGAGAATTCTCACCTCTGTCATTGTACTTTGTAAGACTCGACCCTATCTGAGAAATGTAAACGCTGTTTCTACACAGACTTATAAATCCTCAGTCTTGCAGAGGAAGCAATGGGATTACAGAGAACAATAAAAACTTCAAAAATCTAGCAAACCAAGTTCAGTGAAGGGTCAGCCAATACCTTAACTAAATCTATTCTTTTTTTTAATTTACAGTCTAAGATGGCTTGCAGTTATTTTCAAGCAAACATGATATTAAAAACCCGCCGCTAGCTAGATTTGGAAGGAGGGGGGAAAAAAAAAAAAAGAAAAGCAGCACTCCATGCTTCCTTCCTCTACACAATCAAGAAAAAAATTCTTTTCCTTGATTTTTATTTGCTTTAGATTGCACTATCCCACAATAATAAAAGAAACAAGGTATAGAAGAACCACTGAAAAAGAAGAATAGTTTCATCTACAGCAATAATAACCAAATGAAATTGCAGCTGCAACCTTTTACACTCTAATTGTACAAGGCAACTTCATACAGGCAAGCACTTCTATTCTGAATGTTCAAGTTCATTCTAGATGATCCAAGCCTCGAGACACATCCTAGAATGGATATCGGCAGATAAGCACGAAATGAAGGAAAACAGGCCCCATCACACAAAGTAATTACATATATAGAATGCACTATCAGTACCTTTGTATTGAAGCATGCACAAGTCTGCTCTTTCAATTCTTACACTGTCTAGATCCCTTGCCAAATATGCAAAGTTAAAACACTAAATTAAAATAGAATCTTACACACAATCCCAAATTCTTGTGCTTAAAACTATGTGAAGACTGTGTGTTTTCCACAGGGGAAAGAAAGTACTAGTGGTCAACTACCATGGCACTGACAGCCAATTGCTGGTAGCATCACCCATTCAGGACACTCTTATTAAGCTATGAGATCTCCACAACACAGACAGATCAGTAACTATCAACCACATACTACTATATTACCATGTTTTCACGTAGATCTTCATTCTGTGTCATTTGAATTATTGTCTGGAAAAGTCGAGGATGATATTGTATTAAGACTTCACAAGTCTCTCCATATCCACCCTAAAAAGCAATAGTTCAAAAAACATTTTAATTGAAAGAAACATTAGAATTGGGTCTTACACTATTATAGGCATTGAAAGCTACTGAGCATTAGAAATATATTTTATTAATGCTGAATGGAGAAACCCAATCCTAAAATAACTTGAAATTCAATAACATATCAAGGTTAGATACAAAATGTTCAGGAGACAATGGAATCAAATTCCTTCAGTATATCAGCTCACAGATACCCACTCCCTTTCTTCTTTTTTTGAAACACTTTCCTATTTCGAAAGCCAAAGTTACATTTGAAAAACACTTCCCCGAACAATTTACTGGAGATTAAAAACAGTGCAGTATTTAGCTCCTCTTCCCACTGATGATGGATGACACATCTACCTAATTACATCCAGAATCTAATCTTTCAGAACAACTATTTTCCTAAAGGTTCCTAAGGCACAAATTTGACTTGTTAAAGGAAGAAATAGGATAAACTCATTAAAGGCTTACTTAACTTTAAAATGAATACACAAGTATGATTCCACTTGTGCCTTACATCAATAGCTCAGACTAACTTCACCACCTGTTGAGAACAGGTTTTGAAAGAACAGAACTTGAATTTGTGGTTTATTTGTATCAACTCATTTCATACAGTTGTATTTTTAAGCAGGCACCTAACACCTGAATGCACATCAAATTCTGTATTGGCAAGATGACCATGTAATGTATTAAATGCTTCAGAGGCTTCTTCTCTTTGCATAACAGTTGATAACCTGCTTCAAAAGTAACACATTCATTTAACAGATTCATTGTCCCTGTTGTTAAGAATTTAAGTATTAAAATTCAAACCACCCAGTATCTGCAAGAATTAATTAAAATCAGCTCTTCAAAATCAAGGTAATATGATGTTGATAAGAACTATAGGAATCTGTAATTTCGAATCTTCTAAAAACATTTATCTACTCTGAAAATCAAACCTGTAAGCAAAGAATAAAACCCTTGATCTAAAGGGAAATAAAATGTTTTGTTCTCTTTTTTACTTAGTATCATAACCTTGTAAACTAGATCTTGAACACATTATGATCATCACTACAAAACAGCAAACACCAGGTGTCACTACTCACACCTAAAGACAGAATTTTGATGTATAAAGTGTTGCCCTAGAGATCAGAAAAGTGGAGACTGAAGTAGACATTCAAAATACTTATCATAAAAACTAAGCGTAGTACCCATAAGTACACACCGGTACACTTTCTTACAGGTTTGTGGCTACAGGAAGCCTCAATATTGCATAGACTTCATGTGGTTTTATGGTAATGGTAAGTCATTCTGCCATAATAAAGAGAAAAATCTAACTCTGAGCTTCACAGCTGAGTCAGTAATGAGACAGCACAGGGACCTGGCACTTCTCAGAGGCTGGACCTAAGGACTCATTAGGATTTCTAATATACAAAAAGAAATGCTCTAAGTAACCTAACTGGACCAAGACTTTGCAGAGATAGTCTATGAAATAAATTTTTCCAGAGTTAAACATTCCAAAAATATGCCATGGGTACAGTCTACTACATACACACAGGTACATCAACTGCAGGTCTTAGGCACATGAGGAAACTTCAGAAATTAAATAAATTAAGATTAAAATAATCTGTTAGTACAGCAAAAAATTTGTACAGTTCAACTTTATCCTGTCAAGCTATGTCCACTAAGTGCAGTGAATTTTTTTTCCAGTCTTCAGTTCATAGTTTTCTAGCCTGCTGATTAGTAGCAAAGGTTCAAAAGCTTCCATTCATTCACGTGTTATTTACACACTGACCTTAAATTGATCCTACAGAAAAACATGGAAGTGTTCACAAATCACCCTAGCAAGAAATACAAACAATATTTGGTATCAAGCAAGACAGACTGCATTTTGCTCAGCGGTTGGAAATGCTTGAGACTTTTTTTCCTTGTTCGTCACCCAGATGTAGCATGTGGAATACCTCTGTAAAGCAAGAGTCAGCACCATGGCACCATGTAAGTTTTGTTTGTCTTTCTTAGTAAAACCTCTTCCAAGAAAAAAAAATATTAGTTAAGATTAAAAAAAAAAAAACAAACCACTCCTTTCTGTATGCCTTTACCTCTATTTATTAAGAGTTAAGCACCTAAACAGGGTGCTATTACCTATTACCACTACGATCAAGGATTCCCAAACTTTCCAGTGAAATGGGGTCCTTCACTCTTTGTTTCTCATGAACTCCAATCTTGCAAAGTCTTTAATGGGCTCTCATTTACAGCTTTAACCACCTTTGCAAAGGGTACAAATTGGGAACCTGTCAAAACATTATTTGCAATTTAATTGCAAAAAAAGTATTTTTGCTTTTCTGTTTTGCCAAAGGACTGCCATCTTTCATAGGCCTTAAAACTAAAAAGATAACACTGATGATCATCAGGTGATGAGGTAGCAGTTCATGTAGAAAGTTCACAGAAAGAGAGTGTTGTTAACTCAATACCTGTACACAGAGATCCAGTGGAGTAGTACCATTTTTGTCTGGTAAATATTTGGCTCCTCTCATCAAAAGAATTTGTGCAGTGTCTCTCTGACCATGGCTATTCACAGGAAGAGAAGAAACAGTGTTAATTCAGTACTTATGCTCCCCTATGAGTGATAAAACTGGCTTTATTGCATCTAACAAAACCAACATAAGCTAGGAGAAAATTATAGTATGAAACCAAGCCGAAACACTGGATGGAAGATAATGCCACTTACATGCTTCTATTACCTTTCAAGGCCGCCGCAGAAGCACAGCATAGAAGTAGGTACGGCCTGTTTATCAAGCCAAACTCACCTCCATCATTCAGAAATAATTAATCTCAGCCTAGTACAAGTTATTTATATCCCTCAATACCTAGAGCGTATACTTTACAAAACCCTTTTTTCTGAAGAAAATGAGAAACCAGGCACCAGCGATTACATGTTGACTTCATTAAAACACACTGAAAGATTAGTGGACTATTGCTTTCATGGATATTTAGTGCATATACTGACGTTAACACAGAAATATCTAAAGGGTGAAATGAAAGAAGGATACAAAATAGATCACAACTAGGGTTATGGATACAAGTTTTTTAACCAAGTTTTAGATGGCAAGCTAGTTTGCAGTGCGCCCCTTATTCAAATGAACATTAGTATCTGCTGCCCGGGAACACACCAAGGCTGTCTGCTTTAACAGTTCAGGAAGGGCAAAGGAAAAGTGATAATTAACAGCTGAGGGGCAAGAGGTAGCTTCATTGGTCTCTCAATAGTTCCCAACTGCATTCTCCTCATCCATGTCTTTCCAGCCCAGGAAACCAACAGGTTAATCTAATGTACCGGACTTTGCCCCAGTGCAAAGAGCCAGCTACCAGATCTCAGAAAGGAGCTAAGACTAACAGCCTACTGAAGCACTTCTTCACTGTAATTCTCTAGACAAAGTGCACAACCCACCACCTTGAAAAAACAGGGGTTTCAGAGTTGGACTTTGAGCACTGATACCCTTCACCCAGCCATCACCAGCCACTGCTAACACATCCCGCTCTCCCTGTCATCAGGGACCTAACCTTCCTCCCTGGTGGCATCACCACCAACTAGCACTTCCGAGATGTTAACTTCCACTGCTCACCCTGTTCATCCTATCCTTCCCACTGCTCCAACTGTTCATTTTTCCACCGCTTCAATTGTTCATTTCTAAAATAACATCATCCCTGTACTTGCAACCCATTCCTTTCTCATGGAAAAACTCCAAGCTGAGGCAAGTTTCTTACTTCTTTTAAAGTGGATGCCAGTGTCAGGCACTAAATCAAGCACCAAGACATTCAATTAGCTAGTAGCTATTTATTCTCCACTTTTCTTCTCAACGGCCAAGAGTCATCATACACTAACTCCAGAGACCAGGGCTCCCACAACGTAATTCCTGGCAAGCCACCAGGTCAGCCCATTTCTCTTTTTGTTCATATTAACAATTAATCATAGGTAAACTATTTAGCCAAACACAGGGATTATTAAATGTTCCAACAGCAGAAATGCTCCAATTAAAACAAATGGTAATTTATCATGTGATTAGTTTTGAAATGAAACTAAACTGAGAAAAACAGAAATGATCAAAGCAACAATACAATTTCATTCCAACATTAAGGCATATACGCACATATCATGTACATACCATAATATACATTAAAAAATAGTCAAGCTTGCCTTATCAAAGGCTGCATTTTTCAAACTGATGAGTGTGGCAATCACTAGCTAAATTACTCTTACTTTTTAGCATAGGGGGTCATCTCACAAAAGAAGAAAAAAATTAATTTAGATGGTATCAAAAATGGCATGAAAGTCTGTCTCAACCCATGAGTTTTCTCACTGATCCTCTCCCCTGTTCCACCCGGGGGCAGAGGGGGAAGGTGAGCGAGCAGCTGTGTGGTGCTTAGTTGCCAGCTGGGGTTAAACCACAACCCCACAGAAAAGAGAAAAACGTTACTCAAAAGAATTAAATTGGTAGGTCTCAATTTTTCCTTGATTTATGACTCATGCTAGAACATGCACGGCTGTGTGTTTAACATGTCTGTTAGAAAGCAGTACAAAAGCCCGCAGTGCTAAGTATTTAGATGAAACGCTAAACCACATTCGAACACGAGGCAGTATTAAATACCAATCAACTTTCATGTTTCATAATTTTTGTGCTTCCTAATCATTGTTACTGCAGAAGAAAAAAATCCTTTTCACTTTTAGCACCATATGCAAAAGTGAAGAATACATACCTGCAAGCAAAATAGAGTGGAGTTGCCCCTGACACATTTGGCCTGTTTATATCTGCACCGCTGTCCAGCAAACACTGCACCGTCTAAAAGAGACAATACCAGCATTAGAGAGTAACAGAAAAATCTGTTGGCTTGCAACTACTTAGTGTCACACGTCTAATTACACTGAAGGATTTAATTTTCAGTAACGAATCTCAAAACCAAAATTCCTAAACACTAGATGGAAAATCATGGCTGTCAGAGCTCATAAAGCTTACTTTGAGCTTTCCATTTTAATAACAATGCTTTTATTGAACTCTGGCTAAACCCAAAGTCCCCAGGAACTACAAGCCATTTGAAAAGGCAAACGACACTTTTTAGAGAAGTAAACGTCATTAGTGACAGCCATAAACAGCCTTATTACAAGCTGAAGTTTTAAACACACATGGAAACAGACGAAATAAGTAAGCAAGTTCTAAAACAGCAAAACTTTGCACAGACTCTCAAACAACTTTTGCTATATTCCAATCAAAGTAGATCAGCCTACAGATAACAGATTTGCAGAATTTGGTCTTCCAAAGTCGAGCTCTGACTGACAACAGAAAGGATTTGGGTAGAAAGAGAATTTTTTTTTTTTTTTTTTAAACACTAAATGGTCCTGGAGACGATCTGTACAATTCAAGATCATTACTCTACATGGCTGTAATGCAGCCCAAGTAAAGCATCCAGATCTGTGTTCTTGAGAGTCAACAGTCAGCCCTAACACAAAGCTGAGCCTAAAGATTATTCACACATATGGATAAATGGTCTATGCGAACTTGGTTACTTCTAATATTAACACCTAAGTGACCCAACTCTGTGTTCATTTGGTACTCACAGTAAATTAAGATCATTTCAGATCTCAAAAGCACATAGTAGTTAGTACAATTATCAGTCAAACACGTTCTAAAAAGTAGGGAAGAACATTTTTGGATGTTTAACGTCACATCGAAATCTGTAGTCAAGGCAGTAAGAGTTTTACAGAACAGGTGAATAGTATACAGTAAGTCAGTTAAACTCCCATAAACACTAAGATCAATCATCTCCACAGGAATAAATTAGTTATTCCCACAGAAGGGTATGCAGCCAGTACCAATACAATAGAGTTCTTCGTACTTCCAACCATTACCATCTGCATGACCAGCCTGAAGTTTACAAAAAAAGCACACTCAACACCACTGAGGCATTATCCAAATCTTTACAAATCCAATGTGTTAATACAGTATAGAAACTTACTGTCTTGTGCCCATTTTGACAAGCTACATGAAGGGCTGTCTGTCCCATTGCATCTTCAACATCGACATTACTGACGTGCTGAACAAGATCATGAAGCAATTCTGTTCGTCCATTGACAGCCAACCAATGAATCTACGAACAAAATTATGATATACGTTTCCTTTAGCAATGATTTAAGTAGTTTATAAATATGATTTTAAAGCCAACCATACTATTGCCAACACTTTCACAAAAAGCTTTGAATAATATTATCACACTTAGGTACTTTGATCACATCTTCTCATTCTGAGGAGCACTAGACACACAGCAGTTTGGTTTATTTACATGTAAAATGGCAGAAGCTTAAGCAAAGAATCTTCAAATTCTTCATTTTTTTTAAGAATATCATGAGAATTAATAGCACTTACTGCAGTCAAGCCTTCATTATTACAGATGTTGACATCTGCACTGTATTCCAGCAGTTTGCTCATGCATTTCTTCTGGCTATAAACAAAAGAATACGTTAAAACTCAGCAAGGGAAAATCATTTACGAAGCTCAAGTATCCACTTAGAGCTCCACTCACTCTAATTCATTATTGTAGAAACAATAGCAGGTAGTTCTGCATTATAAGGAGTGTGGTTCTGAGCATATGAAAAAGAGACGTGATCATCAGTAGCACCAGAGCTTCATAGGGTGCAAGTGTAGCATGTAACACCACAGGGCTAAAAACACAGCTGTGTAGCTGAACGTTTCTGTGGAAAATGCCGAAGTGTAGGGTCCTGCACCTGGGCTGGGACAACCCCCGGTATCAACACAGGCTGGGGGATGAAGGGATAGAGAGCAGCCCTGAGGAGAAAGACTTGGTACTGGTACACGAAAAGCTGGACATGAGCCGGCAGTGTGCGCTGGCAGCCCAGAAAGCCAACCGTATCCTGGGCTGTATCAGGAGAAGTGTGGCCAGCAGGTCGAGGGAGGGGATTCTCCCCCTCTACTCTGATCTTGTGAGACCCCACCTGGAGTGCCGCATCCAGCTGTGGAGCTCTCAGAGCACAGGAAAGACATGGACCTGTGGGAGCAGGTCTAGAGGTGGGCCACAAAAATAATCAGAGGGCTGGAGTACATTCTTCCTATAGGGACAGGCTGAGAGAGTTGGGCTTGTTCAGCCTGGAGAAGAGAAGGCTCTGGGAAGACCTTATTTCAGCCCTTCAGTACTTAAAGGGGACGCTTAAGAAAGGTGAGTACAGACTTCTTAGCAGGGCCTGTTACGATAGGACAAGTGGTAATACTGGTTTTAGACTAAAAGAGCATAGGGTTTTTTTCTTTTTTTTTTTTTTTTTTTTTTTTTTTTTTTTTAAAAAAACAATGCGGATGATGGTGAAACACTGGAACAGGTTGCCCAGGGAGGAGGTAGATGCCCCCAGTCCCTGGAAACATTCAAGGTCAGATTGGACAGGGCTCTGAGCGACCTGATCTAGTTCAAGATGTTCCTGCTCACTGCAGGGAGGTTGGACTAGAAGCATTTAAGGGTCACTTCCAACCCTAACTATTCTATGATTCTACATAACCACCACTCTAACAGCTTCAGCTCAGCATGAACGACACCCTCAAGAATAGAAGCTAATGGAAATCCATGAAGTTCATCATGATCTGTACACTTTAGTGAACACATTAACAGTACACCACTAAATCATTATTTAATGAGACACTCGTAACTCTCTGTAAATCTCTGGCAAGTACAATAAGTGCCTTAATGACAGTAGAGGTGTTTTTCCTCCTTCATGTTTTGCTTGGTCTTTTAACACTCTCTCATGCTCTAAGTGCTTTAGCCATAAGAGTTTATTCTTACTTTTCCTTTTTATCTGGTTCCACTCTCACCTTTCTCATCCCTCCTCTCCGCATAGTTGTCTCCTGTGTGTATTTCTGCACTTCAACATGTACCACTTGGCTGCTTCTTTCTCCCTTCTCCTACAAATACTCCTCCCACATACTAAAAGCCACTGAACACTACCTCCTCCTCACCTGACATACCAGCCGCGACACAATTCAGTTACTGTAATACATACATGCTCTAAAAAGAAAACGACAACACTACCATGTTTCAGCTGTGTTTCCACATACTACAACTCAAGAAATAAGATCTTTGGAGATCTTAAAAAGGTGTTTACTCACTGCTTGGGTCCCCCTCACCCAATCCCACCCCTCCTAATATGGTGCATGTAAACTCTGTATTCCTTTCCTTGTAGTAAAAAATTTCCTTGAATACACTACCTGAGAAAAATCTGAAATCTCTGAACCCTTTCAAATCCTATAGTATTCTCCTTGAAATCTTTTCCTACTTAGCTAACTGGAAGGTGAATGTATCCCTTGTTCAATCACTGTTGTAAGAATCATTAAATTCCGGCTTAACAGGAAACACTAAAATGACTGACACTGAAACTGGCACTTCAGACATAACTTTATATAAATAAGAAGTTCTTTGCTGAACATTCAAAGAATGGATTTTAACCTCCATGTTCCCTGTAAGGGTGCCATCCCCATTTTCAAAAGTTAGAATCAAAGTACTTCCTTTGAACTATGCAAAAACATTACAGAACATGTTAGCTCAAGTGCATTATGCACAAAACCTTCTTAATAGTTTTAAAAACTTTTTTTCTTACCCATTCCTTGCGGCTAAATGCAGAGGGGTGCATCCTGAAATGTCCTGATAGTTTGGATTTGCCCCTTTCTTTAATAATAGAACAAGGCATTCAACTGATCCACAGCTAAGAACAAAATAAGGAAGGGGAAAACTGTAACAAGGATATTGACAAAAAAAAAATCTATAAAGAAAACAGCAGTACTATGTACAGATTACATTCACTAGAAAATCTTAACACAAAACCATTTTCACACCCTCATAGCTCAACTTACACAAAGGTAAAGACACTTAAATACAGTGAGAACTGACTGATCATAACTTGTACCGGTGAATAGGTGCTAGCCTTCCATGTGATTTTACTGACTTTAAAACTCAACGGTGAATAATCAAGACTGCAAATTGTTTAAAATGTAAGTGGTTTCATATGTTTTGCTTACTATTTCCTCTTGCCTCCCTCATCTTTATTCAATGGAAAATTCAGTCCTGTGAATAACAATTCCAGTATCTTTATCCAATGTTTTTTTATGGTGCAGTTCAGTGTCTGGAAGTTACATTTAGAAGTTTAAATATCAGAAAAATTCTAAAACTCATACAAATATTTCTTTGCTATTTGTTTTGAATATGCAATTCCCTTCTACTTTTCATAATAACATTACAGCCCCTCAGAATAATCAATGTCACCAAGAACACAGAAACTTTGCATTATATGTTTATCTTATTCCTGAACTCTCTTGAAGAGGAAGAGCTGACTGGGAGCTAAATATACACTTTTTGTATCGGTCATGACCAATGCAGCCGTTGTTGCTAGTCTTCCCAATGACAGAGCTACCACACAACAACAGAAAGAAATTGGAAGACTAGTTCTACAATAAATTGCAAAAGCAGCATCTTGATTACCTCTTAATGACAACAACTAGCCAAAATAAAAGAGAATCCAGAAGTGTAACACAACTTCTTGGGTTTTACGATCAATTAATACAGCTTTTTAAGATATTTCTAATACGTATGCTAAAAAACTGCTTGCATTTTCTTTTCTTTAAATACGTTCTTACGTAAATTTTATATAAGCAGCACGTAATTCTGAGATTAAACGTTTGGGAAACATATTTCTAAAACAGTTTGCTTAGAAGGCTGGAACATCTGTATTTATTGTGCCCAAGTACGTGCTATCTACTTGGAATATTACTACTATTTCTTCTACCTTTTTTCCTAACAGTTTAAATATAAGAACTTGCAAGATATTTAAAATGGGACCAAAATACAGAGCATTAATTCATTAGTTCAGTTTCCTGAAGGCCAATTCAAAACACTATCTGGCTCATTTCTATTAAGGTTATGTTAATCTGGCTGGTTTTTGGCAATACAGATTTATCTCCACTGAAGAGCTACATAAATAATAAATCTAAGTTACAGATTTGAAATCTGCACCTAAGCCCTTTATCCAAGATATAAAAAATTATTAGAAGTGAGTGGCCAAGTTACATCCTTTTCAGTTACAGTCACATGAAGTACTTCAGACCAGCTGCTTCCCAGTGAACGTCCAAGTGCTTCCCACTGTTTTAGAGTGCTTCAAAAACAAGGAGCACCTGCAGACAAGGCTTCTCTTAATCTACAAAGGCAAGAGTAACCCAGCTACACAGGATACACATAATGGCTACATTTCTTCACAAACTGAGATTTAATAAAAAGGAAAAAAAGTATCCAGCAAGACCACCTCCACTAGAATTTGGAAAGCCATTTGTTATTAAGTATAAAACCTGTGCTCTCCATAAGGCAGGCACATTGCTGAAAGAATGAACAAAATACAAAAAGGAAGTGTAAAAACAAAATGTTAACTGTTACTACAGAGTTTTCCAGCTTACATTGGTGCCTTAGATTTGTGGTAATACTTTCATTGTTAACTTCTGGACTGGACTCAAGTAAGTCTTACTTTGCTGCAATATGAAGCAAACTTCTCTTCACACGTCCAAATGCATAATTCACATCAAATTTTGAATTTGATAGCAGCTCTGAGACAGACCTTCAAACAGAAATAGAATTTTAATTAAAAAACAGCTCAATATCCAAGCAAAGTATATACTGTAATTTGCACACAAGTACTCTATTTCTTACTTGATGACGATTTCTTTTCCCCTCCAACTAATTTCTGAACAAGAGATCCAACAGCTTTCAAGTACTTGCATATTAACAGTACTTTTACTCTTTCGATTCTTACTTGTACATAAAAAATGAACCGTGCCACTAGGCAACTGTTTCAAATATAAACTAATAAGAATTAGACCAGGTGGTCAAATAACTTCTTTACAAATACAGAAAACAAGCATATTAATAGCTTTGCTTTGAAAAACAATAAATTCCCATTTTCCTCCTTATCTCAACACAGACACCCTAACCAGATATCCAGCAGCTTTTCCAAACACAAGCAAAGTTCAGAAAGACGACAGGTACATGAAATCCTCATAATGGAAGTAGAAGGACACAATACGCCAATAGGATAAGAAATTTAAATTAGACACTGAGCCCTAATGAATTAGTAAAGATAAAATATTTGTCAAGATAAAATATTTCAAAATAAGCAAAACTGCAAGTAAACTGGTGATTTCAATCTCAACAATATATTATGTAGCAGAACAAATGTTTATCATGATTAAAGTTTACAGTTTCATTAAGATTCCTACCCACTTGCCTACAAAACCCAGCAGAAGGCAGGACCACTTAGCTGGCACTACACAGCCCCCAGGTCCCAACCACTGTGAGGACATGTGAGTAAGAAATAGCTGCTCATCAGAGAAATCCCAGAAGTACCAATTTCATTGTCCAACTCTTATTCCATGTCTGTCTAGAGACTAAGAGCTTCTATTTCATCAATAAATAAACACTCAGAGCTACAACCCAGATAAAACAACGCTTTTGTTCTTATCCCAGGAAAAATTTCTCTACATGAATCAACAGAACAAATCCCAGCTCCAGTCTATAGCATAAAATAAAACAGGTTCCTCAGGAAAAAATATGCTGGGAAACACACAGTTGGTGACCAACTTCAGCTACAGAAGATATCTGAGCAATTCAGCAGCAGAACTCCTCAGAATGCTCTAGCAGCTACAACTCTAGCAAATATGCTGGGGTTTGGACCTTAACAAAGCAAAAAAACCCCAAAGAACTCACACAGAAATTTAAAGCAGCTCTCACCTGTGCTGGTCAGCCATAACCATTGGCATTAGTGTATAGACAGCTGTTTCATTATCTGTGAAGAAATTAAATTACTCTGTTATCATAAAGAAATCTTTTGTGCAAAATAAATTCATCTAGCAACACTTATTTCCTTTTAACATGTCCATTGTTCAACAGATCATTCTCTTTACATAGGTTATACATACCTGAAGTTTCATTATTTAAAAAAGCTTAGAAGATGTAATTAACAGGATTGCGATACATGAAATTTCAACGTGCCTTTTTTTTTTGCAAAGTAATAATTACAGAATTTTCAAAGGAGTATTATTTTTAAATTAACTATTCTGTTAATTAAGTCAAAGTATCTAAGAAATGCGCATTAACAAAAAAAAGGTATAGCTTTTTATAAAAAGGAAATATCCTGTGTTCCAAGGTGACTTCCATAGTCCTTATTCCCATGAGTCTGCAAAAGTGATTTATTTAAACTAAGTTACTCCACAACCATTCATTTTTGTCTCTAAACTCGAATACCTGAATGCAATAAATTTCATTTTAACTTCCAGTCAGTTTCATGTTCCACCTTTGCAGGCAATGAAAAAAGGCCAAAACACAGAGATCTGAGTGAATGGTGGGAACTGGCATTCAGCCCTACAGTCCTCGTCAGTACTATTGCTGCACATACCAGCACACTGTATGGGTATGATCTGCCTGCTTGGTCACTTACAGACTTTCCGGACTAATTTTAAAGGATGAATTTTTCAAAACTTTGAAGTTTTTAATGTATAATTATTATTAATAATATTAATGTACAATAATTATTATTCATTATTATTGATGTATAATGATTTTCTAGCTTGAAGCAAACTACCCATTGCTGGGAGTACAACCTCCACAGACTCTTCACATAGATGTCACCTTATGAAAGGACAGACTCCACTTTCTGAGAACCTAGGTATATAGTTCCATGATATGGAAAAACAGGACTGCTCTCATAAAACTTTTATTTTAAACTTTTTCCTCATCATCTTAATACACCCAAATACCAAAGTCAGAAAACAATCAGAACAGGAAGAATTAAAACAGACCCAAACAAGTATAGCTTCTGATATTTTTTTACGCACTGTGCTTCTGTATGTTCACTCCTTTCACTAGATTGGCGAGCTGACATTCACCAAACATTAAACAAAAATCTTCAGTTATCAAGGGGAGTCAGAGAAACCCTTATCATGCTGCAGCTACGCTATTCGTTATTATTCTTCTACAGTGCCCCAAGTGCTGCTACCTGCTATTTGAAGCGGCCTGTCTGTAGGTAACAAAAGAAAGAAGCAATGCTAATCTGTTACCACCTTTGAACAGAGACAAGTCATATTCAGATCACATTAATTCTGTTATTTATACAAAGAAAAAAAAAATCAACGCTGCTTACAGCGAACACATGGTGGAAGAGCCTCTCAAATCACCAAATGACGTTTCAAAACTGCAGAGAGTAATGCTAACCATGACCAAGTTCAAAACCTTGAACTGCTTATAGATTGTTCCTTATGGCAGTGCTCTGTGAGCATCAAATAACTCCATTCCCAACATGCACAACTAGAATTTGACTGCTGGGGTGGGGAAGGCAAGCTGCGAAGGAACACATGCAGATGGAGAGTCCCGGAAATAAAATTAAATAGATGCTAAATAAAGATATCAATTGTGGAAAAGATCTGAACACTTTTTAAAGATGTATCCATGATTAGCTCCCAATATATACAAATAAAAAAAAAAAAATCTTGCTTGAGCTCTGTTCCACAGATGTCTTGGCAAGAAGATAAAGCTCGCCAACTGAAACAAAAAACACAACTTGAGAACACCAACTAATTCTGAGCATGACATCCTTATGTATTTCTACAATCGTGCCCCATTAAAGAAAGAGAAGAGGCCAGGGAAAAAAAAAAAACCAAGCTTTAAATATACAAGCACACTTAACTAAATGCTTACTACTGATACTAATTAGATTTAACTATATTGTGAGTATAGTGATCTAGAAAAAGACAGAAGTTAAATACAAGTGTAGCAGGGCCATAAAAGATATTTATGGTATAGTTACAAAACTAAGCTCTTTGACATTCTATTAACAGAATAAACACTGTGGAGCATATGCAGATTTTCCACAGTTTTTCCTACACAGAAGTAAAAGGATGCAGGACTACAAAGCTTCTGTGCCTATTTTTTGTAAATATTACCTCTATTCATAAACAAACTCCTACTGACTTAAAGTAAAAGTACATGAACACGAGGGAGAGAAAAAGCATTATATGCCTCATGCACTTACAGAGCTTAATTGTTATCTAACTTGCTTGCATTGCAAGTCATAAATATTTAAAGACAAAAAAAAGGATCCAAAATGCAGAGTGAGAGCCAACAAAGGGCCTAAAACCTACTGCTTTGGGCTGCAAGACCTAGTTTTCAGGCACTGAGCCTTAACAGCAGAATCCAGAAATTTGTGTCAAACATCTTAAGTGCCCAGAAAACACTTGCTGAGGGGTATTTCATAAGAGTGATGAAAAAAACAGTATTATTTCCTATTGGCAAGATCAGCTCAGGGTATTCACTGGCACTGAACTCGCATGTTGATGCTTGCTTTAAAAAAAAAAATAAATCACTTAAAATTCATCATCTAGAATCCTGCTAGATGATATGAGTAGAATCCTACTGACAAGATACACCCATTTTATTTCCTAAGAGATACTGGCTTAAATTTGGCAGAGAACACAATCTTGAAGGTGTCAGCACCATCCATACAATATCCTAATGACTACAGCACATGCAAAGGAAGTTTAATATCTGGATTTAGTGCCTTCTTCAGCAGAATACTATGACGCTTTGTTGAAGGATGGAGAGGTAAATGATACATCTTTTAAATTAAAGCTATTCAAATGTATGCCAGGGAAAAAAAAATAACCATAATTCAAGAGACCAAACACAGCACACAAGAAGCCACCAAACCACATGCCATACTAGACTGGTGGTGGTATTTTCTAAGCTGATCCTGTCAGTACATGTTTGGAGCAAAACACTACAACCCAAACCTGCTTCTCAAGAAGAGTATGGGCAGGCCAGCAGAAACCTCGGGAACACCAGAGTCAGGAGAGAAGGCATGCAACGAGCTAAGATGTACTCGAAGTTAGACGGCCATTGAATGGAATGTAATGGCCATGACATCTTGGAATGTAATTTGGGATTTCAGTGCCTGAAGTCCATTTATCTCCTTATTTCAGTCCAGCTGTGATTTGTTCCATCTAATTCTTAGAGAATACATAGGACTGACATTCCCTCTGCACTACAGCGCAAGAGAAGTGCTTGTACTGGAGGTCACAGGGCTTGCACTACCACAGACCTTTTTAATAATTTTAAATAATTACCTTTGAAGTGTAAGATAATAATGCCCAAGATGGGAAGAAACGAGCTGAACTCAAATTCAGAATGAATTTGCCTACACTAGCACTGGCTGGAGTAAATTTAAAGCAGCTCCAACCAGCACAGGCTGTGCCACGCATTATTCATATTACCATCATCAATTACTTAAACTGGTGCTACTGCATTATTTCTGCAAGTCTGAGCTTACATTAACACTATTACATCAGTTGTTATTGCTGCCATTCATGAGTTTACAAGAAGCAGCAAAATCCATCTGAAACTTGCCTGTCCTTTTGCAAAATTTATGAGTAACTATGCTGGCAGACACTGAAGCTGTTGGCAGGTGACAATAAGTGCAGGGTGTAGCAGCTCAGTGTATGGGGAAGTCCACGCGCAGCAGCCAGGAAGTCCATACAGGGAACACAGAGAAAACGGAGTATTACTCCCTTTCCCCCAGCACCGGAGATAGAAGCTGGCAGACAGACGGCCAAAGACTCATCCGTAAAAACAAACCCTGACGAAAGCACAATAACAGCACATGATTCACAAGAACCGAAACTTCTGCATATACAAAAGCTTTTGCAGGGGTAGTCTTCCCGAAGGCTAAAACACTAAACCACTTGCCATAAGAGCGTGAAGTTCTATTCCCAAGTCCATCTCGATATCAGGTGGCTAGCACCTGCGAGAAGTAGTTTAGAGCCACAAAAATTAGGCTGTGACCAGTGACAGTGACTTACAGAACCTTTTCAAACAACGCTCAGCACTACTTAAAAAAAAAACCACAACAACAAAGATTTGTCATCACTAGCGTTTCACCAACAAAGCACCTAACGAAGGATTTAAAACGGGATACAAAGAGGGCACAGCACCCCAGACCACCCGCTCGCCTGGGCCCAAGGCAGGGGCACCCCGCGCCCTGTGACAGGCCCTGCCGTCCACCGGCGGCGAGACACCGGGACAGGAGGAGGACGGAGAACTCGCTGCTGTTGTTGTTACCACCATTAAAAACAAAAAAGCGCCCCAGCGGCGGAGAGAAACCTTCTTCTA